ACCTTGCTCATTTATTCCTATTTTAAAGTTCTCTATTTTTTTTTCCACATCGTTCGAGATGATCCCAACATCAGCCTGGATAATTAGCTAAAAATAGAAACCTTAATTAGGGCATCCTGGTTAAGACAGTTGTCTTTAAGCTCATCATTTCGGATGATACTTGTATCGACCGGGCTGATAGACTCAAAGCAAAAAGAATCAGCCGCCAAATCTATTTAGGTATTCTTTATTTTTGGAAATCATTCAGATCATCGGCCTGGACGATGAAGTATAATTATGCTTAAATTAATCTTGTAATTAAAGAAAGCAATTAAGATTTGATTGTATAATCACATCATCTTGGGCGATCATAGGATCAGCTGGAACGATACCCTGGATGATTGGACATCGAACAGCTCTTATTCAGGGTGATGTTCAGGATGATATTCCATAATTTGTACTAATCGGTCAGGACGATATGAACTTTTTTCTTCTGACCATCCCAAATCATCTGGGCTGATTGAGCTTATTTTGCACTGATCGTACAGAACGATATTCATATCGGCCTAGACGATAAAGTTGACAAGTTGCAATTAATGAGCTTGTTTTGAGCTCTTCTATGTAAACTTTGACTAGGCACTTAGTAAGTGTCTTTTGTTGCCATTGAAGCTTCATTCTTCTGGAGGAAACTTGAAGGAAGAGCTTGAAAAGGAGAGAGGAAAGGGTGGAGTCTGAGAGAGGGAGAAGATCTTTGGAAGGGGTTTCAAGGGAGTGTGGAGGGGGTTCCAAATAGTTGCTCCGGCAAGCTTGCACCTTAGTACCATCGGATTCAAGGCTTGTCTTGAGAAAAGTTTTGGAAAGAAGAAGATCTCTTTGGGGTCAGGCTACTCCGCCGCATCGAGGAAGGTGTAAGTGATTTTGTAAGGGCTTCTCCGCCTAGCTGTGGGGGCCAAAGGAGAGACATTAAGTTTAGTGTAATACTCGGAGGGTGCCTCCGAGGAGTGGACGTAGGTCAAGTTTTGACCGAACCACTATAAATCTGGTGTGTTCTTTCCTTTATTGCTTCCGAATTTATTTCTACACTTTGATTTCTTTATGGTGAATTGTGGTTTGAGTTTTGTGTTTTGATTGAAAGATTTTTAAAATACTAATTCACCCCCCATCTTGGTTAGCTTTGGGCTAGTTCATAAGAGCCTAACATCCCTAACGAACATTCAAAGTATTTTTTGTTGCAACCCATGACCCCGAGTTTGTGATTTTGATGATGCCAAATAATGAGTGTTTGTTCTAAAATTTCAAAAACAACAAAAAAATTAGAACTCTTTTTTAGGGCTAATTTTATCAAGAAAAAAAATTCAAAAGTAACCATCATGACTCGGAGTAGAAGAATTGGGAACAGAAAAAATAACATTTTTAATCTCATTAAAAGATAAATCATCTATAAGAAGATAAACTAAATCAAGAGGAATATAATTACCAATAGGAATAGAATTAGGCAAAGCAAAAACCAGCTAATGGGAATAATTTTTTTTTTTTTGTAAATGTTGAATAAAAGCATCTGAAATGCAAGAAGGATAAAAAATCAAGAAAACCCAAGTTCTCTTCTATAGAAGAAAGCCATATAACCTGACCTATTTGAATAATCAAAGAAAACCATAAGGCTATATTATAATTAAGAGTATAATTCATGCCTTCTAAATTAGCATTAATTAAGCTTAAGATCCAAAGGGAAATCTTAAATTTTTCCCAAAAGAAAATTTTGTTTTTTTGAAGATCCTCAATATTTTTAGAAACTTTAATAGAAGAAACCCAAGATTGATTCTTAATATAACATTTAAGCTTATGAAGCATAAAGAATATATAAATCATTAATGGGTACACCAAAATTCTTAAAAATAAATCTATGACTACGTGAAGCCAAGAGAGTACTCGTAATAAAATGAGAGTGATCAAAATATCTAGGTTTATCCACACAATAAAAAGAGGTAGGAAAAGCATCCAACCAAAAATTATTAACCAAAACCTTGTTAAGCTTAAAGTGAACTGGGTCATCACATTTTTTATTAAACTAAATAAAGAAAAAACCAATCAAAGAAAGATCCTAAACTCCAATATATTGAAAATGAAATCCTTAAAATTACTTAACTTACTAATGGGGATAGAATTACCCCATAGATTTCTCATTAGAAAACCTATAACAATTGAAATCACCTAAAATCACCCAAGGGGAAGAAATTTTATTAGTAATACCAAAAATATCGTTCCATAAAAATATTCTTCCAGCCAACAAAGTAGAAGAATAAGTAGCAATAATAAAAATATGAGAAGAAGATCCCACCGATTACGAGCCATGAATAAATTGACTAAAGGAAGCCATATGGTTAAAAGAAACTGAAGCAGAATTCCATTTTAACCAAATCCTATCAGGATCCAAGCAACTAGCATTGTTATTGATGCCAGAGCTAAGCTGTTAATTCTCTTAACTTCAGGCTAGTTTACTTTCGTATGGGAGTTGTATGGCCACATAAGATTAGTGCTTTCTTATGTTGTGTGTAGCATAATAGGTTGTTACCTTTATCTATAATTATGTTGCAATGCTTGTAATAGGGGAGATTTTTGAGATGAATAATATTTGAGTTCTTCTACTCAGTTGTCTTTGGGTTCACTATCCCAAAGTTATTCAGGTGGTGATCCCCTTCCAAGGAGTTGTTGGTGTGGGCTGCTAATTCCTGCAATTTCACTCATTTTGTACATCGTCATTTGGTATCAGAGCCGGTAAGGTGCAGGAGAGAGTTTTGTTCGTTTAACTCTTATGGGCGATGGGTTTCTTGTCTTTATCTGGCGTCATTTGGTATCAAAGCACTATTAGACTCAATTCCTTATGTCCCGTAAACGCTAGCAACTTGCCAAAGAACGTTCCTCTCTGCACGTAGAAGATGTTGGTAAATTATTCAGTGGTGATTATTATATCATACTTTATACATATCATTCTAGTGAGAAAAAGGAGGATTACTTCCTAGCTTGTTGGATTGGAAATGAAAGCATTTATGATAATCCTATGATGGCTGCTCGATTGGCCAATATAATGTGGACTTCCATGAAAAGCATACCTATTTAGGGTCACAGTTTTCAAGGGAAGGAGCCACTGCAATTCATTACACTCTTTCAGCCCATGGTTGTTTTGAAGGGTGGTTTGAGCACATGCTACAAGTAGTCAGTGGAAGAGCAGAATGTTAAAGATGAATCCTGTGGCTCTCATGGCATTGCACTAGTTCGTGTGTATGGTACTTCAGTTCATAATAATAAAGCAGTTCAGGTTGAGGCAGTTGCAGCATCTTTAAATTCCTATGACTACTTTCTTCTGCAATCTAGAAATACTCTTTATATGGCAAGGAACATCAAGCACGCTTGAGCAACATCAGTGGGCCACAAACATTTTATAATTTTAAGGAGGGAACAGAGAGCTCTGCTTTTTGGGTTGGTCTTGGAGGAATAGCAATAAAGTTACAACAAATATTGCTAGAGATCCCCATTTGTACACGTTCTCTTTCAACAAGGAAAAATTAAAGGTCCCTGAAGTTTTCAACTTTGTGCAAGATGATATGCTGAGTGAGGATACATTGAAGTCTCTCCTAGTAAGGGAGAATGACACCAGATGGAAATATCCAGACTGGTTTAGTCAACCAAACCAGCCTCCTTATTGTGGTCAGCCGGACATCTTACTGTGAGCCTAAAGTTCTTCCAACCCTGGAAGAATAATACCGGAGATGAGCTGTTAATTCTCTTAACTTCAGGCTAGTTTAATTTTGTATAACATTTGTATGGCTACATAGGATTAGTGCTTGCTTATGTTGTGTGTATCCTAATAAGTTGCTATATTAGTTTATAAATATGTAGCAATGCTTGTCATAGGGTAGATTTTTGAGATGAATACTATTTAAGTTCTTTTACACAGTTGTCTTTGGGTTCTGTATCCTGAAGTTATTCAGCTGGTGATCCCCTCCCAAGGAGTTCTTGGGTTATGCATGGGATGCTAGTTCCTGTAGTTCACGATTTCTTTCTGTCTCCGTTTCACTCATTCTGTCCGGCGTCAGTTATAACTATTTTCTTGCTAAAAACCTCTATGTTTTTCCACAAAACTGGAATCAACAATATTAACAGAATTAATCTTAGCTTCAAGAATGCTAAGAAAATCAACATCAAATTGTAGAATAAGGTCTTAAGAAGCAGAGAAATTCTCCAAACTGATAAAACCTCTAATATTCCAAGAAATAATATTAGGCAAAGAGATTTAATACTTACTTGAATAGCTCGAAGCCTTCCTGGCTTTTTGAGCTTTTGCATCCTTTCCCGAAACTAAAGAATAGCTACCTTCAGCATCTCTAAAGAATCCAATCCAGTAGATTGCAAAACATGAATTTATTATTAATGGTAATATCCACCGCAACTTTTTTAGGAGAAGTAACTATAATAGAAACTGAATCTCTTTAGATTCTAAAAGGCTTTTGTCCAGTTCCAATACTAGTAGGCTTCGCTCTCAAAGTAGCTAATCAGATTTACTCTATTAGTGACTAATCTTCTTTAATATCTGAAAAACCCTTAATGATTCATTAGTTACAACAAAAGAAAGATTTAATTTTATTTTTTATAGAAATTGTTATTTATGCCTTATCTAGCTAGTATTAATTTTTTTTTTTTCACCGTCCTTACCCGAAAAAACAAATACATAAATCCGGCTCTTCGAAACAGTCACAAAAACTTCAGCCGTTCCTAAGTCAAAATCGTATGGCGAGGATTGGTGTTCTTGCTATCTCGGCACGTCATAAATAAAAAAAGAACCATCCATGACGTGCACCCTAACGTGGCGAGTCTCCCCAGCAATGCTTTAGCTATATATTGACCAGCCCATCTCTGAACTCCCAACTTGCAATCTACAAGTTTTTGTGTATTATTCTGCAGTTGTCAGAGGAAAATTTTTTTTTTGGGGAAATCAGAGGAAAATAGCATAGGATCATTTCGTGATGGAAGCTGGCAAGGAGAAGGTCTTGAATATTGGTGCAACTGCAAAGGCTGGCATGGACAAGACGAAGGCCACCGCTGAAGAAAAGGTTACTTCTTGATCCTTCTTTTTAGCTTAACCCATAGTCAAAAAGATTAAAATACAAGTCTTCTTCCAAAAAGAGATAGGTTTGATTGAATCTAAGCATGTCGAATCAGGGGAGAAAGGCCGGTTCAGGTAAACAATTGTGAAAGGCTTCGTCGCAATAATTATTAATTCCAGTTAAAGTAGAGAACTGGCTAGAATTCTTTTTACCACTTTCCAGAAACTTTCATCAGTTAGCTATTCTTATCGTAGATCGAGAGAATGAAGACCAGAGATCCACTGCAAAAGGAAGTGGCGGAGGGGAGGAAGCTGGAGAAAATTCATCAAGCTGAGCTGGCGAAGCAGCAAGCTTACAAGGAGAACGCGATACAGAAAGGTGAAGGAGAAGGAGAAGCGCACCACATAGGAGCCGGCCACCAAACCGGCTTGGTTGGGCACCACGCAGGAGTCGGACACCAGACAGGCTTAGGTGGGCACCGAACAGCCGTCGGACACAAAACCGGGTTGGATGAGCCAACAAACGGCGGGACTGGCTTTCATAGGACTGATGCACCAATTGCAGACACTAAAATTATCCAAACTGTACAGGAAACTGGCGGTGGATTGTACTAAGGGATATGCTGTATGCATCTACCACATGGTTTATATGACGGTTTTATTTATTTATTTTTATTTTTATTTTTAATATATGACGGGTTATAGGAGTTGGCAATAAAAAGGGTGAATATGTTTTTTGTGTTTTAGCTTGCAATATTTTACGTGAAATTGGGTGAAGGGTTAAGAATTTATTAAAGTAATCCCTTATTTCTTATTTTAAGTCTTTATTTTGAAACCAAATTTGAATATTTAATTTAAGATCAAAATAAGATTAAACCAAAAGTAATTGATGTGAAATTTAAGAAATTTGAGCAAAAAGTAATCTTCATGCTTTTTACTACTATAAGTATTCAATGACGTTAAAAGAAAATTGTAAAGTTACATGAAGAACAACAAGGATATGGTGTCGGAAGTAAGGTTTCAACCTTACTACATAGAAAGACTAGGAAATAGAAGAAAAGAATTTGAAAGAGTATCAGCCGGTCTACGAATCTATTCCAACTATCAACGAATTCCTATGATTTAAGGTGGAATGGGAATTGTAATTCTTTCTACTTCTCGAGGTATATTGACAGGTCGAGAAGCTCTACTAGAAAAAATGGGAGGAGAAATTTTGTGTTATATATGGTAATTCTCTTAGGGTATCCTAATTTTTTTTTAACTTACTATTTGTAAATTAGAGAGGAGAAGTGAATTATAGAACTCTTCCTCTATTAGTTGAGACTGAAAGGGGGTTCCCAGGATTGAAAGAACAAAAATTTATTCATAAGGGTTTCATTACTGAAAGTTAATAAATTATTTGATTATAGAATGAAACAAAAAATTATTTATAATATAATAATAAAATTGTAAATAAAATAATAAATTTAAATCTAATTTTGAAAGGGCCATGGAATTGTATTCTACTGATATTACTATGTTTCAGTCAATATATATTAGATCTTCACTTATAATTACTCTAAGTAGATAGGATAAACATGGATAGGTGGATAACTATACATATATGAAGTCGTGTAGTAGAGTGCAATAATAATATGTTGTAAGGTGTAGTAGAGTACCCATATAACGGAAACATAATAGGTTCAAGATTTTTAATCATTGGTGGTGATGTACAATTGGTTAGGATTTTAAATGAGTGTTTGTGGTGTTACAATCATCCTACATAGTATAGTCCTATTTAGTAGTCATGGTGTGAGGAGTTTATTTCTAATTTAATATTATCTCTTAATAAGACAAATTTATATGAAGTGTGATACTAATGGGGTGAGGAGTTTAGACTAATGGGGTAAGAAAAGTTTGATTGAATTGCTTGGAATTTGAGGGTAGCGCTATACATATGTATCTCTTGATAAAAGAGTAAATATTTTATGTATTTCATGTTTTAAGGTAGGCCTTTGTTCCTCTTTCTTTCCCATGGATGAGCTTAAATTTTGAATAATTGTCTTTTTGCTAAATGCCTTCAATCAATTTGGTGGGTATGAATGCAAAGAAATGAAGAATGATTCGATTGGGATGTATGACAAACCCTCTTTTGAGTCTTAGAAGATTATTCTTGAATGGTTGCATAAGAATAAGGTGTTAACTTAGCTTATATACATCCAACTAATTGATAATAGTTATGGATGTAGTTTTTCAAAATTAGATGGACTATAGATGGATGTACATTCAATGAAAAATTAGTGAGCTTATTTTTGTTAACTAGTAACCAACTTATTCATAAAATATTTCTGCTTGGTCGTAACTTATATAAAAATCAAATATAATTTTTCAAGTTGTTCTATTGCATAATTTTCAAGTTGTTCTAAAGGATAATTTTCCCTTTAGGCACAGTAAATCAAAATGAAACAACTTACAAAGTAATATTATTTAGAGGAGTAATTTTGTTCTTAATCTATTAATTATAGGTACTAAAATATAATCTTAGTATGGGAGGAAATCATTAAAGGGAGCATATGTTGACTGTTCTCTAAAGCTGATAATTAGGATATAATTATGTACATATGCCTTTAGATAAATGTTCATTCTATTGATAACATTTAACAAGAAAGAAAAAATTCTTTTTATATGAAATTACATATTTAGACCTTGGATGTTAAGCAAATGGTTTATAATGTAGATTGGATCGTTGGAAGAAGAGGATGCTTGAAAGATTTAATCCCAATCCAGGGAATAAAGATAAACACAAGCTTCAAAGCTTTAAATAGAGTAATATATCATCAATGAGTCCTTTTCTCTTACACATTCCCTATATATAATACTAAAGTAAGGAAATCCTAGAGAATCCTAGAATATTCTAGAAACATGAAAAAACTTGTAACAAACTACATAAGAAATCTTAAGGAATACATTAAGCTTAAAATGCTCTGCATCATTCTCCCCTTGTGTCAAAAGAGCTCGACTTCGTCGAGGCGCGTTATAGGGAGGGTGATAGATAAAGAAATCAAAATCAATCCTACTGAGTCAAAATTTTTGCATCTTTGATGCATGTCCACAAGCTCGTTCAGATGAGCCCAAGCCACAAGTATAGTAGACAAGAAAATTTCCTCCTTCATTCGAGTAGAGAGATCCAAAGCTCTCTTTTCCATTGTATTTGGTACAATAAATTTCAAATAAGGCATCACAGCATCATAATAATTTTGGAACTACTCCCGTGAAGAATCAGTAAGTGATGCTAAAGCAGTTAAAGCTGCTTCTTGCACCATCTGTTTCCCAATATGAAGAAATACCAATAGTTTGCTAACAAAGGCACTCAAGTAAGGAGTCAAAATTCCAATAGCAAAAATTGCATAAGGGAAATCATTATTTTGGGTGAAATATGCATGAGGGTTCTCAGAAAAAACAACTTTTGTGCTTGGGTCTACTGTTGCTTTTATAGCATCAAGTAAAGTAGTTCTAATTATAAAATTGTTCCCACTAAGTCCTTGCCACTCGATTGTCCAACCTCCACAAGACCACATCAGCAATCTTGCCATCATATTCCTTCCGACATAAAACCTCGGGAGTGATGTAAGCTGGTGTACCAATCATAGATTTTAGTTGTGAATGCAACACAAAAGACATGGAATACCCAAAGTCACATATCTTTAGCCTTGGTGCACTACTACCATCCAATAATGTGTTTTCTAGCTTAAGATCATTGTGGCATATACGCATGGAATGATAGTAGCTGATTCCTAAAATAAGTTGCTAAAAGAAGAATCTTGCCTCGTCTTCACTGAACCTTCCTGAAACAGCTCACCTCTCGATTCATATTCCATTACTATTGCTAGATGTGTAGGCGTCAAGAAGACCTCAGCTAGAACTTCACAAGTTTTTACAAAACCTCCTCCAACCTCATCATGTTGGGATCATAACCTTCAGTGACATTTCGTCGAACAACTTGGGGGTATATGTACTTGCTCAGCTATGTCAGTGGAGTTCACATCGAGTATTTGCACACCTACAATGGAAATATCCTCAATAAAAATATTGTGGTTGTCATTTAACCCAGTCTCCCCATCTCTATGATCCATCATCCTAACATTGAGCCTGTTCATGAAGAGATCCACATAGTATCCTCCTAGAATCATTGATAGCGCTTTAGCAAGCTCTACGACTAACTTGACCTAACCCCGTGTCCGAATCACAACCCAGCTCTATGTTCTCTCCACGGACAAGCTCATGCAAGATGATGAGAATTAAATAAAGCTTCTTCTCCTTTCTTTCCTCGGACCAAATTTGGGGATTGGAAATAATACTTTGGAGCTTCTTGAGCAAACCATGCTCCTCAAACCTCATCGCCGAAGCAATATGATGGCTATCAAGCTCCGGCAACCACAACCGCGGGTCTTTTATGTTGGGTGAGGGAGTGCAAGTAGTTGAGCTCCATCTAGATGATGATGTTGCTTTCGAGAATCCACCAATGTTGGGTACATAGCCATGATCGTATTCATCTATTCTGCCTCTGATCGATGCATTGTATGATATGGCGTTCACGATTTCCTCACAAGCCAGCATCTTTATTGCTCTATCCATCCTACCCTGTGCACTGGATGACATAACCGACAAGGGGAAAGTGGTGAGAGAGGGTGAAATACCTCAATTTTGTATGCATTCATGAAACAGAGACAATGTCCTATCTGGATCACCTTCGGAGACGCAAACTTCATGGATCAGGGAATCCCATGCCTTCTCGGATATAACGAGATCATGTGTGAGTTGTGTGAACACGGGGACGAACTGCGTGGGCGCGAGGCGTAGTAGCCGCGAGTGGCTATGAGAGTGGGTATGTGTCATGCGAGTATGAAGGGCAGAAGCTGGGTTTGATCAACGAATGTCTTAGCAGAGTGTCCAAATTAGAAAAAGGAGAGGCTAGATCCACTGTGAATGCCCTCGAATGAGAGGTCCATGTTGTCGGTGAAAGGGTTATAGAGGTTCCTCCTACCAATAAATAACATTTCTCTTTTGCTACTATAGAATCGAAGCCTTGAACAATTATGGATTTCCTACAAACAAATTCTGTTCTCTTTCGCCTCCCCGTCATCGGAGCTGTCAAAAGCAACCTCTGTAGGCTTCTTCTCTTTTGACACAACCTCCTTCTCTACCTTACCTTCCTCAATATAGGAATGAAAAGCCCTTTTCGCCACCGGTATGGTTGTCGACGTATCTTCCCCATTGTTTTGAAGGACAACTGAAGTACTGCCATAAGATTTTTTTCCAACACCACGCCATGAGCTTTCTGCTAAGCAAAACCAGCATGAAGTTGCTCGGGTGGATCACGGGTGAGCGATGGAGGGCTGTGGTCATGCGGAGTGGCAGCGGGGAATGTTTCATCAGGTAGGGAATCACGAAAAAATTGAACTGGGATATGGAGTAAAGGTGGATGCATGAGTTCTGAAGGCAGATTGAAATCACTTTAAAAATCAGAGACATTAGAATTAATTGCTTGAGGTAGCGGGATCGAGAGCGAGGGCCGAGAATGTTGGAATGGAGGGGGCTTACGCCACCGAAGCGGAAGTTCTAGCGGAGGATAGTGG